AGAGTGGATAAAGAAGATGTGGTGTATATATACAATGCAATACTACTCAGCCATAAAAAAAGACAAAATTGTCCCATTTGCAACAACATGGATGGACCTGGAGCGTATTATGTTAAGCAAAATAAGCCAGAGAGAGAAAGAAAATTACCAGATGATTTCACTTATATGTGGACAATAACACAAGGACAGAGAGAACTATTTGGTGGTTACCAGGGGGAAAAGGGTTAGGGGGTGGGCACAAGGGGTGAAGGGAGGCACTTATATGGTGACTGACAAACAATAATGTACAACTAAAATTCCACAATGTTATAAACTATTAAGACATCAAAAAAAAATTGAAGAAAGAAAAAAAAAGAATATAGAAAATCTGAAGTACACTATCAATCACCTCACATTATTGACATGTATAGAAACCTACACTCAATAACTACACAATAGGGGCTGGCCCAGTGGCGTAGTGGTTAAGTTCGTGCACTCTGCTTCAGCGGCCTGGGGTTCATGGGTTCAGATCCTGGGCACAGACCTATGCACCACTCATCAAGCCATGCTGGCATAGTGGTTAAGTTTGTGTGCTCTGCTTCAGCGGCCTGGGGTTCATGGGTTCGGATCCTGGGCACAGACCTACGTACCACTCATCAAGCCATACCGTGGTGGCATCCCACATACAAAATGGAGGAAGACTGGCACCGATGTTAGCTCAAGGCCAATCTTCCTCAAGCAAAAAGAGGAAGATTGGCAGTGGATGTTAGCTCAGGGCCAATCTTCCTCACCAAAAATAAATAAATAACTATAGAATATATATTTTTTTACAAGTACACATGAAAAGTTAAACAGAATAGAGCATATGTTGAGGTATAAATAAAAAAAAATGAAATCTCAAATTTCAAAGGACTGAAATCTTACAGAAAATATCCTCTAAATTAGAAATCAATAACAATCACATATCTAGAAAAGGACCAAATATTTAGAAATTATATTTTAAATATTTTTAATAATCCATGGATCAAAGAACAAATTATGAGGGAAAAGAAATACACTTTGAACTAAACAATAATTAAAATACAATGTATCAAAATCTGTAGGGTAGAGCTAAAGTTGTACTTCGAGAAAAATTTATATCTTTGAACGTTTATATTAGAAATGAAAAAAGGCTCAAAAACAATGATCTAAGTTTCCACCTAACAATATAAGCAAAGTAAATCCATAATAAGCAGAAAGAGGAAATAATAAAGAACAGAAAACAATGAAAAAAAAACAACCATTAAAGAAAATTACCAACAGTATTTTTGTTGTTGTTGTTGTGAGGAAGATTGTCCCTGAGCTAACATCTGTGCCAATCTTCCTCTATTTTGTATGTGGGATGCTGCCACAGCATGGCTTGATGAGCGGTGTATAGGTCCCATGCCCGGGATCCGAACCTGCAAATCCCAGGCTGCCAAAGCAGAGCATGGGAACTTAACCACTATGCCACCAGGCCGGCCCCACCAACAGTAATTTCTTAAATAACTGACCAAGCCAACAGTTCTTTATTTAAAATGATTAATAAAATTAATAATCCCCTAGCAAGACTGGACTAGCATAAAACAGAATAAACACAAATTATCGCATTAGAAGTGAAAGAATAGGGGGCTGGCCTGGTGGCACAAGCAGTTAAGTGTGCACGCTCCCCTGCAACAGCCCAGGGTTCGCCGGTTCGGATCCCAGGTGCGCACCGACGCACGGTTTGGCAAGCCATGCTGTGGCGGCGTCCCATATAAAGTGGAGGAAGATGGGCATGGATGTTAGCCCAGGGCCAGTCTTCCTCAGCAAAAAACAGAGGAGGATCGGCAGATGTTAGCTCAGGGCTGATCTTCCTCACAAAAAAAAAAAAGAAGAAGAAGAAGTGAAAGAATAGATGGCACTACAGATTGTACAGACTTCAAAAGGATAAATTATCATGAACTTTATGCCAGTAAATTTAATAAGTCGAATGAAATAAATCCTTGAAAAACACGAGTTACCAAGACTGACACAAGATCAAACAGAAAATATGAATAGACTTGTATCAGAGAAATTGGATTTATCTAAACCTCCCTACATAGTGGTTGCTTGGGGCCAGAAATGAAAACAGGGATTGACTGTAAATGGGCACAAAGGATCTTTCTGGGGTGATGGAAATGTTCTAAAACTGGATTGTAGTAACAGTTGCACAACTCCGTAAATTTATTAAAAATCATTGAATTGGACACTTAAGTGGGTGAATTTTATGGTACACAAATTATGGTTCAATAAAGGTATTTTAAAAAATCTCTACAAAGAATCCAAGCCCAGATACTTTCAATTATGAATTATACCAAACATTTAAGGGAGAAATGATTTCAATTTTATACAAACTCTTTTACACAATACAAGAGGATGGAACACTTCTCAACGCATTATATGAAGCCAGTCAGTATAATTCTGATATCAAAAGCTAACAAAAACTTCACTAAAAAAGGAAATTATAACCAATATCACTCACAAACATAGATGCAAAAATCCTCAACAAATTTACTAGCAAATTGAATTCAGAGGTATATAAAAAGGATAATACATCATGACCAAGTAGGATTCATCCTCAAAATGCAAGGTTGATTTACTTTGGGAAAATTCAATGTAATCTACCATATAACAGTACATACTATATCATTTCATTTATATAAACGAAGTTCTAGAACAGGCAAACTAATCTAATGTAAAAAAAAAAAATCAGAACAATAGCTGCCTGGGGTGGATGGGAGAGACTGACTGGCAGAGGATAGGAGGGAACTTTCTGGAGACATGGAAACGTTTTGTATTGTGATAGGGTTGTGGGTTTTACATGGATGTACATGATTGCATTTGTTGCACTTCAATACATGTAAATTTCACCAAAAACACTTTTAAAAGTAACAATAACAAGCGGGAGGATGGGGAATGGGTGGAAGTATATTTGAAACAAGAATGATACAATATTATTGACAAGTGTTGAAGCTGGGTGATGGGTCCATGGGAGTTTATTATACTATTCTGGTTTTGGTTTTGGCTTAATTTACATAATAAAAAGTAAAAACAAAAAAAAAACTTAGAGGTTTTAACTTTTTGACTCATTTAACTTTTAAAACAAGTTAAATGAGTCAAAATGTTTTGTAGTTCTCCACCATCACCAAAAAAAAAGTTACTATAATTTCCTGAAGCATTTAACAGAGGTACAGTCCCTAGTATGAGTAAAATGAATAGTTTTTGCCATTACTTTGTGTCCAGGTTAAAGCAAAGAGAATGGTGAGGAGGACTTGCTATTACATCCTTTATGAAGAACTAGGAAAATTTATTAGGCATGAGAACTCTCAAAAACTTAATAGCTTGCTTTTAATATCTGAAGCATTATTACTATTGAGTTTGTTCAGCCAAGAGGCATAAATAGGAATAGGGGGTAGAAGTTACAGGAAGAGTTTTCAGGTCTTTAGAAAGAAGAACTTAAACAATGGCGATCTCAAAAAGCAAAGGGGCTGCCTCTGGAGATAATTTCCCTATCCATGGAGATATTCAAACGTAAGTTGGAGATTTGTAAACTGGCAACAACCACTAGAAGAAAACAGCTATTAAAGTTCCCTCCAGCCCAAAGATTTTGCAGTTCTTTGATCTACTTTCTCTTATTTTAATCTAAAATCAAAGAGAGACGTGTAGGGCTTTGTGGGGATTTTTTTTAAAAGAATTCATCAGGGAGGTGGGGAATCCGGGATATGTTGTTTAAGGGTACTACAAACTTGCAACCAGTAGATAAATAAATCCTGGAGATCTAATGCACAGCATAGTGATTACAAACAACAATACTGTATTATAAACTTTAAAGTTGCTAAGACATTAAAAAACAAAATAATACAGCCAAAATGCAGTGTCATGAATAAAGCTGAAATACAGCTACAAATCCCAAACAATATTTTGGCACATATAGTTACGAAGAGTATACATAGAAATATTTTGGAAATTACCACAAAAATGAGTAGTCTTAGATTTCTGGGCTTAACTGAAAATTTCTAAGTTAATCTTTCTTGATAAAGTAATAAGACAAATTATAAAACCAATCACAACATGCAGCCCTGCGCCAGGTGCTGGTTTTCTGTCCGCAAGGAATACCGATTATTGTGCGCCCTCCTCTGAGCTAAGTACTATGGAGGAATCAAAGTATAAGACACAAAATTTATCCTAAGGAACCTTACAATTTAACTACAAAGGCAAATCATGCCTGAAAAATAAGCCATCAGTACTTGGTTAAGTGCCAGAAGAGAGTATAGATAAGACCGCTGAGAAATGCAAAGAGCATTCTGCTGAAGTGGTGTCAGCAGGGTACCTTAAGCTTAGGGAACTTAAAAGGAAACTGTAAGAATTTAGACAGGGAGAAAAATTAAATTTAGAGTGGGAAGAAGGCAGGCACTTCCAGGGCAAGAGAACAGGGTAAAGCAAACAATGTGATAAAATAACTTGAAAATAAATCTGTATTTTGTCTCCAGAAAACCCCCAATATCCCTCCAACGCCTTTGGCTCGCCTATCTGTTCCTTCCCAAACCTTCAGATCAGTGGTTCCCAAAGAGTGGTCCTGGGACAAGCAGCATCACCAACTACCTGGGAATTTGAACTGCAAATTCTGGGGACCCATCCCAGACCTAAAGTGTCAGAAAGTGGGGAAGTGAGGCAGCAATCTGTGGTTTAACAAGTCCTTCAGGTGATTCTGATGCACGCTCAAGTTTGAAAACCACTGCTCTAGAACTACCTGCCCGGCCCTCCGCACAAGAAAGTGATGATGTTCTGAGTGCCTAACTCAAGACACTTTGCTGAGGGCGGAAAGCGAGGTGACAGCGGGTCCCAGACCTCTAAGAGTTCAGTCTGAGGCCCAATTTCGATTTCTCTTCCAGTACACCTTGTTCCAATCACTACCCTCTATGCCACCGCCTCCCGTATTACTTTACCCTCTCAGGGCCCGCCCCGTCCCTCGGTCGCCCTACCTCAGTGTCAGAGGGGACGTGGTGCTGGCAGGGCGGGGAACTGCCCAAGGAGACAGGAATAGATGTGGCGCTTGCCCAGAGCCCGCCCAACAGGAGTAAGACGCCTCGGACCCATAAAGAACCGCTCCAGCGACACCGGGTAGGGCCCGGGCCTGAACCCGAGGACCCCGGTCCTCCGCCCCACTCGGCCGCCATCTTCGAGCCGAGCGTCGTTTCCATGGAGTACGCGACGCCTCCGCGCTCGGCGCCAGCCCCGCCCCTCGCCGCTCTGGGCAGGTGGAGGGAGCGGCCGTCGGAAACAAGCTTTTCGATTGGCTAGCGTCACCCACAAGTTCACCGCGGAAGATGAGAGCCGCATCACGTCCGTCGCGTCTCATTGCGCGAAGCCGGCCAATAAATGCCGTTTAGCGGCCCACGTGAGTTAGCCTGTGGGAAGATTAGTGGATGTTGATGGTAGTGGGTGGTGGTATGTGGGTGTCTTTAGTGAGGCAGTATTTCAGTCTTTAACTCAATTTTTCATCTAAAAGATATGCACCCACTAGATGCCAGGTAGCTTAGACAAGACATAGAAACTGCAGAACCTTTGTGGTGTAACCCTCTGTATAAAAGGTGAATGGAATATAATTTTCATTTTTACTTAAGTCACCAATTTCAGGCGCATTTTTTCCCAGTCATTTCACATAAAATCAATGATGTGCCCTTTACTATTCAACTCCATCCCTTAACTTTTATAAAAACCAAGAATTGCAACTGCGTTAACCCACCGAGACTGGGTGGATACTTACCATTAAGGAAACTACCTTCAAAACTGAGATGTGAGGGAAGTATGAAAAATTGAAAATTCGGACAAATCTCTCTGTGGCACATGAAACAAAGAATTAAAACTAAGAACTGAAAGCACTGAACTGGAACATTCATTCAACAGGAACCGAATATTTTCAATTACTATACTAGGAACTGTAGGGGTAGGAAAGTATTGAAAATCCTCAAGAATTTACAATTCATTGGCAAAGATCATGTACTCAATACAAGGGTGGGGCATTTTACAAGTGAGTAGAATGTGTCTATCAACCCACAATTAGTGGAAGTTGGGATTCCAGACCAATCAGCACTTTCAGAACATGTGCTCCTTCCACTACAAGACCACAAAGAAAGGCACCAGTTACCTTCAACTTCCTAGGTGTAAGAGTAGTGTCATGCTGGCAGAAGGATGTTGTAATGGTCTGGCAGATAAGCTGCTAGCCATTCAAGCTCATTTCTGTGAAACATGGGACTCCTCCAATGGTAACTTCAGCTTGAGGACTACCTTGGCCCTGACCAAACGTCATTAAGAGAGCAGGAGAGCACAAGGAACCCTTATTTACAAGTGCTGCATTACATCAGTTGAAAGGAGAAGGATTTGCAAGAGCTTGTTCACCACTGCATTTACTCAAGTTATCTTAAGGATTCTGTCTTCTGTTTTCCCTGCTTTGTTCAAATGCCTACCACTTATTTATCCACTCCTATTGTTCTCCTACCATCGTCTATCCCACTCAGAATACCACACATTCACTGAACTCCTACAAAAGTGACAGGCATTGAGACTTCCTCTATATGCCTAAGCCAGACTTGGAATATCCATCTGCCTTGCTGGACATGTTCACAGCTGAGCATCCTGCAGCTTCCTCAAACTCATCACTTTCCCCCCACAAAACCATCTCCTGGCTCCCCAACTTTGTAAATGCACTATTACCCACCTAACAACCAAAGCTAGGAAAACTTTACCCTTGAAAACTCCTCTCCACAATTAATCGGTTTTAAAATTGTTAATGTTTATGGAGTCTCCATTTCAACGTTCAAAATTGTTAAAACTTCAAAGCCTGGGCCAGCCCCGTGGCTTAGCGGTTAAGTGCGCGCACTCCGCTGCTGGCGGCCTGGGTTCGGATCCCGGGCACACACCAACACGCCACTTCTCTGGCCATGCTGAGGCCGTGTCCCACATGCAGCAACTAGAGGGATGTGCGGCTATGACATACAACTATCTACTGGGGCTTTGGGGGAAAAGATAAATAAATAAAATTTAAAAAAAAAAGAACTGCAAAGCCTACCTAATTTTCCCTTCCTTAAGTTTATGCTGAGTTGCCACTGGATCTTTCTAAAATATGAATCTGGTCACCCTGTTAATCAAGTTCTTCAATGACACTACATAATCCTTAAACGGTTGGTTCCTCAAATGTCTTCTGCTTTAAGACTACTGATACACCTACCTAACTGGGACAAAAAAAAGCAGGTAATTTTAGTTTACTTCAGCTGTTTTTTGAGAGGGAACTAAATCTCACTGGAGTAGGTCTGAGATTGGCACTTCCTGCCCTTCACCCCAGATTTTACAAGTTCCGTTTCCTTCGGGTTCTAATAACCAGATTCCAATTTGTGGTGGCCATGAAATGCAACATTCGGAGCTAGTGAAGACAGCCTAATTGACCAAAGGCCCCAAGCTGTTTCTCACCATCCACCTCATTTACCTTGAGGACATAGTTCCGAAGGGCTGCTGTTAGCAAAATGTGACTGGCAATACAAATATAAGCCCATTTCTGTGAAACATGGGACTCTTCCAACAGCAACTTTGGCTTGAGGACCCCCATTGGACTTAGGAAACTTTTATAACTGCTGTGTGCTATTAGTACCCAATCCTTTCCTACATCCTCTCCTTCAAGTCTTTCTCATTCCCTCCCAATAAATTTTTTACCATGCTAATTGTTAGCATCTTTTTAGAGAACCCAAATACAATTAAACAAACTGTAAAAAGGGGCTCAGTTCGGCAAACTCCCATCTTCCTGTTGACATTTTCAGTGGTATGTCAAGATTTGTTGGTTAATAAAAAGACTAGCTGCTACTACAAACATCCACAACCACCATACTGCAAACCGATACCTTGATTCAGACTTTTACTTCAACACATTTTGAGATTTAAAATATTCTGCAGTCCTGCTTGGTTTCCTTTATATTATGCTAAAATATCTCAATCCTGCACTTTACTATATTAAAACATGGAGCCAAAAAAAGCTACACTAACCAGACAATCCTGACCCCTACACAGGTTTACTTTTTCGGAGGCACATGGCATTATTTTCACATTTTCAACTTTCACATTATTCCTAGTCAAGTGTTCTATACTGAAATGCTTTGTCCAGTCACCCATCCCAAGGGTATCTCATCCCTGCCTGTCTGAACAAGCTGCCAAATATCACCAACATAATCTCTATTTAAATTTCTCCCAACTACCATTTTTAAGTCACAAGTTTCCCAACCAATCTATATTGAACAAGTGCATACTATTACAAGGTAGTTTAAGAAGTTGTCAAGATAATTTTCTTTCACTGACTCTCAATCTAATGAGGAAGCAGTTACCAGTTCATTTAATAAACCTCAGTTCCAAAGTTGAAATAAACTCTTATGTGGAAGAGTTACAGATCCATTTTGATGTGGAAATCTGGAAGTTCCATGGTGTATATCCACACTGGCTGAAATTTCTGGCTTCTGTCCTTCCTGGAATATGCTGTTTCTCCATTTGTCCAAAAGCTTTTCTGAGGCTAGGTTCAAGTGCTCCATCACTATAAGCCTTCCAAGATACTCCTTTCCACTGTCCGCAAAGCTTACCTGTCCCCGTCTCCCACCACCTAAGGCCTTATTAAAATACTTACATCCTATCCTCCTATTGTCTAATGTCTGTAATTGCCATTACATGTAGCTCTCTGGCTTCCTTATACTCTGAAAATGCCTGATAACCGCCACATTTGAGCACATAGCAACTAAATTTTATGGCAAAGAGATTTTTAAGCCATTTAATAAAAATACAAGGGAACAAATCCAGTTTTATTTATTTACTTTTCAATAAGTTTAAATCCTTGAAGGGTACAGCATCTGGGGGGGAAAAGAACACAATGTCATTAGGTGCATGTTACATACAAATTTACAAATGTTATCGATTACTACAATATGGATAAATCTCCTTCCGTTGTCCCATTACTCTTTAAGATTTTTTATTTTTATTGAGGTAATATTGGTTTATTACATTATATAAACTTCTGCTGTGCATCATTATATTTCGATTTCTGTGTAGATTATATCATCTTCGCCACCCAAAGACTAATTACTATCCATCACCATACACATGTGTGAATCACCCATTTCACCCTCCTCCCTTCCCCTTTGGTAGCCATTACTCATTTCTGAAAGGTGTCCAATGACAACTTTTATCCTGGTGGGGAGGGAATTGAGTTTTTATAGCCTCAGTCTCTAGGTAAACCTGCTTTGATTAGGAACAAGTACTGGGAGCAGTGCAAGTCCATTTAATTTTGCTTCTCCTACAGAGTAAACACCTCCTCTGATGAGAAATCTCAACTGCTCAGCAGGGTTCAAAAGCACCCTGTGACCTCAAGAATACGGCCATGCCTACTCTAAATGAATCCTGACTAAAGAAAACAGGAGCTATTTTAGAAAATCACAGGATCTGGAGTCGAAGACTCGGGCCAAAGTCCTGGGACTGAGAAACATGAGCACCAGTTTTCTTCCATAAAATAAGGCTAATAACACCTATATTATAAATTTATTTTTTTTGTGATGAAGATCAGCCCTAACATCCATGCCAATCCTCGTTTTTTTTTTCCTCCCTTTTTCTCTCCAAAGCCCCAGTAGATAGTTGTATGTCATAGTTGCACATCATTCTAGTTGCTGTATGTGGGACACGGCCTCAGCATGGCCGGACAAGCGGTGCGTTAGTGCGCGCCTGGGATCCGAACCCAGGCGGCCAGTAGCAGAACGTGTGCACTCAACCGCTAACCCATGGGGTCGGCCCCTAATAACACCTATTTTAACAAGACTGTCATGATTAAGCAATAGGAAAATATTAAGAATTATGCCAGGAAAAGGGATGTTGAATTTTTATTTTCTAGAAAATACTTCAGTGCCCAATATCTTTGCCAGAAAATTGTTCATTTAAATATGATTTCCCCCCCCAAGCAGCTTTAACAAAATCTGAAATCTAGGCACAATCCATTTGAATACTTTGCCTTCACTTTCTTTCTAATGCCAAAAAGCTGAAGTAGCCACTAATTTTGCAGCATAACCTACAGGCGATGTTTTATAATCACAATAGTTCTTAGAGTGAAAGCCCAACCCCTTGAGCTTAGTTTGACTCAAAAGAGTGCCATATTGCTAATAACTGTACTTACCACACGGAT